GACCTGGGGTTCCCGGGGATGGTGGTGGCGTCCGCAGGAGCCGAAGCGGGGAAGGGGAGGGTAACGCGTGGGTGCAGTAGGTCCATGCACCCATTCCCCCCTCCGCCAGCTCCTCCCGCTATCGCGGGGTCCGGGGAGGGAGTGGAACGCCGAAGTGCCAAGACCTGGATTTCCCGGGAGTGGGGAGCTCGCGGGAGCCGAGGGAGGTAAAGGGAAGAAGGGGGGATGTGACGGGTGGGGGACCCGGCGGGCACTCACTGTGCGCGCTCTGAACCGGCGCGCAGTCCACGGCGCCGTCTGAGTGGATGCGCAGGAAGCAGCTGGAGAGGCCCTGGGGGCCCGCGGTGTACAGGTGCCGCAGGCGGACTGACTCGCCCCAGCCGTAGTGCACGTGCGGCCCGGCATCCGAGAAGGCTAGGGGGCGCCCGGCTGCAGCCAGCCAGAGGCCGGCCAGGACCAGGGCGCGGGCCACGGCGCACCGGCTCGGAGCGCTCCGCATGGCACCTCCCTCGGGCTCGGGGCTCTGGGCGCAGAGCGGGCGGTGAGGGTGCGGGAGGCTGGGCGGCAGCCGGGAGGGCCTGCGGAGCGGAGCGTGCGGAGGTGGGGTGGCCGCTGCCCTCGAGACAGGAGGCAGCCGTGTGCTCCAGGTACCTGGGCGTTCGGTTCTCCAGCTCCGACGGCGCGGCGGCTCGAGGCCTGCGACCTTATATAGAGCGTCTCACCCGCGACACCGAGCATTTCTTATCGGGATTGCATCAGCCCTCCGCCCCCCCCACACACCCACTCACACCCCGCCCCCGACTCAGCCTCTCCCTGGGCCCTGCCCGGGTGACCCCGCCCAGGCCGCCCAGATCTGGAGGAGGAGGAGGCCCGGCTTCGCCGGAGACTTGGGGGGAGCTCCTACCCGCGGCGCGGGGGCGAGGCCTGCGGCCAGGTCGCTCTCGGCTGGGCGACGTTGGTTCTGCAAAGAAATCAAGGAGACAACGGAGCCCAGCCCCCAGGCCACGGGCTCCCCGGGGAATGCGCCAGTCGCGGGGTGCTAGCAGGGGCGCGGAGCAGGAATTCCGGGATCAAAGATCGGGGGGCGGGGGGCATGGCGCTGAGCTTTCCGTCCTTTACTCCCGGTCGGAATAGCCTCGCCTCGGCTTTGGGGTCCTCTCCCCGAAAAGTCCACATCCATTCCCTCCCGCCACGGTCCCAACCCTCAAAGCTCCAGAGCCAAAGCCGTCCACTAGAATTTTGCCTGCAGCTCAGACCCTCTCACGTTCTCCGGCTTTCTGTTCTCGCGGTCCCTGCCCGCACCGACCACCCACCCTCCGCTTTTACCCCAGTAAATTGTCCCCCGACTGGGGACCGGGCGCGACCTCCACTCTCGGAGGAACAATGGGGTCGCGCGGGCGAGCGCTAGATGGCGCTTCAGCCCCGGTTTCGGCCCGGCTTGGCTCTGCGCCCCGTCGCCGTCCCGCCTCCGCCCGGCTCGGCCCGCTGCAGTCCCTGGAGATGGAGCCTGGAAGGGCCGTCGTGGTGAAGGCGCCTTTCGGGGGCAGGGTGGGCTCGCAAGCTGCGGATTGGGATACCGACTTTCCAGGGTGCACGCCGCAGGGAGGCTCCTTTGTTTCTGAGGGGCCTTTTGCTGTAGGTCCGGTCCTTGGGTCCCTGAGCGCTTCTGCAGTGCCAGGGTGTGCTGTTTGTGGGGGGGGGGGGCGACAGGCACCAGCTGGGGAAATTGGGGCCACTCAATGCAGTGGCTCCCGCAAACTGGATGGCTGTTCTGATGACGCTTGGAAAAAGGAGACCACATCCAAAGAATGCCCGGCGGGAAAAAGAGGGGTCCTCCTAGGGGGCTTTTGGCTCAACACTGATTCTTTCTCATTGTTCCTCCAACCCCTCCGCCCCCAACTCTGGGTGAGGGGCCCCAGGAGGCTGGTTTTGGGGAAAAGCCACACTGGCTGAGCTCAGGGGCGACGGGAGGGCAAACAGGGGAGACAAGGGAGAAAGCAATGCCAGGCCTAATGAATTTCAATGAGCAAAGGCCATGTTCATACCCCAGTCGGTGACTGGCGTTAATGACGGAGCGTGCAGAAAATGTCACCAGGAAAGTCTTTACAAAAAGACATCATCTCGAAAGCTTTATAGGCCGGGGACCCCCACGCTGAGTGTCTTGGTTCAGAAAGCCACGGCTTCTGTTAAATCTAATTACTTCCCCCCTGTGGCTTTAAATCGACAGCGGCCCCTATTAAACTTAATTACCCTCCCCTGCAGCTTTCGTTTTAAAGATCCTGGATAAATGCGGGGCATTGAGGAGGGTGACAGAGGCTGCACTGGGGGCCGTGCCCCAAATTGGGCTGGGGGAGGACGGGGCGGCCTCTGGTTCCACCCGCACCCCTCCGCTGCCCCTCCTAAGGCCATGGTGGGAAAAGAGAGGCCACCGTGAGCCAGGAGCTCAGGAAGCTGGGAAAGAGGCAGCTTCCTACGCCCAGGCCCTGTTCTAAGCGTGTGATGGGTGCTCTCCCCCAACGGTATTCTGCCCTCCCCCACTGAACAGAGAGGGGGCCCCAGAAAAGTGTCACAGTGACCCAAGGCTGCACAGCCTGTAAGTGGTGAACCTGGAATTTGAACCCAGGCCGTCGGGCTTGTAAATCTAGGCCAAGCTGCATTTCAGGGAGACAGTGTGGCCTCCTAGCAGGGGCGCGGGTCCCAGGGTCAGACCCTCTGCAGCACAGATCATGCCCCACTGCTCCCTGGACAGCTCATGAGCCTGCTGGGCCTCTTGCCTCCTCCTGCCTGCTTTCAGCCTTGTCCTGGGTCGTACGGGAGAGTGGACAGATAGTGCCTGCGATATAGTTCATGGAGACGGACAGCCATCGCCTGAGGAGCTGCTGTGTACGTCACACTTCATGGTCAGAGCAATGGTCTGCGAGTTTCAGTGGCTAATCTGTTAACCAACCCAGACTCGGCCAGACCTCCAGCCAGGGTTTGCACCCAGGCGGTGGGGCGCAGAGTCTGGGCTGGTTCGCTGGTACCCTGGGTCCGTGTGGTGGCAGGAAGCCAAAAAGGGCCGAGGAGAGGCGACGCTTGCCAGCAGGGGGCGCTGCCGCTAACGGTGGGGCTCTCCAGGTGAGAGCGGTGATGGCCCCGGAGGTGAGGACCAGCCAGCTCCCGAGCTGCTCAAGGCAGACCCCGACCCCTGCAACCCCCAGTGTGCTGGGTGGGGCTGATTTCCAGCGTTCGGGCTGCACTTGATTTGGTCCAGGTGGCTGAGCCATCTGACTAGCCCTGGTGAGTGGAGCGGGCAATGCACGCAAGGTCCAATCATCCCCACACTCTCTCGACCCACGCAGGGCCCCAGGGGTCTCAGGCCCAGATGGCCAGCAGGGCTTGGCGTGGCGGCTTTGTTCTGGATCTGATGTTAGCTGGGATCTTTTTTAACTGCCCTAAACCCTTCTCCTGGGGTCTCCCTCCTGCATCTGAGCTTGTTGGTGTTGTTCTGATCGTGGTCAGTTTCCATTGTTTCTAAACCCACATCCCAACAGCTAAGAAAATCTCTTTAGCTTGACTTCCAGGCTTTGCATTGTGAAAGTAATAATCCCTTTTCTTTTCACTTTACAGTTAGAAATTTACGTTACAATGTCAAAAGTGCCTTCTTAAATACACAAGCAATTCTCTGGGCCCATCCCAAATCCCCCGCCCCCGCCCCTTAGTTGAGAAGGTACTTTGTAATTACAGAAACTTCTGGGTGTTGGTAAAAATCTTCATCAGAAAAAAATAGGAACTTTGGGGACAGAAAGGATGGTGAAGACTCGGATGCGGGTGGCAGGGGCGGGGGACAAGCCACACAGCCAGTTCTTGGCCTCGCTGAGACTGGAACTCGGGGTGGGGGGGGCACCTGAGTCTCAGCCTCATATTTTTCCTAGAATCTACTAGAACATGCATCCTTTTCCCCAAAGCATTCTGCTTCACCAAAGCCCTTTTTCCCCCCATTAGGATCATTATTCTAAAAACAGGGCATCCTGCTAGCCTAGAAAAGAGAAGTCTTCTCTGAGCCTCAGTTTCCTTATTTGTGAAACAGAAAAAGGAAAGTTTTTAAACTCCAAAAGAGTTCCTGTGAGAATTAACTCACATTAGAGATAAAAGATATCTCTATCAAACACGGGATCCATATTTACACAGAGACCGCCTGGCAAATTTAGGTGTGTAACAGACGGGCTATACTTGCTACATTTATTATTTATTTTATTTTATTTTTATTTTTAAATTAATTAATTATTTTGGGGGACTGCATTGGGTCTTCGCCGATGCGCGTGGGCTTTCTCTAGTTGCGGCGAGCGGGGGCTGCTCTTCGTTGCGGTGAATGGGCTGATCATCGTGGTGGCTTCTCTTGTTGTGGAGCACAGGCTCTAGGTGCACGGGCTTCAGGAGTTGTGGCACATGGGCTCGGTAGTTGTGGCTCACGGGCTCGGTAGTTCTGGCGCAGGGGCTTAGATCTTCCCCGACCACGGATCGAACCTGTGTCCCCTGCATTGGCAGGCGGATTCTTAACCATTGCGCCACCAGGGAAGTCCCTATTTTAAAATGTAATGGTACTGAAGAATTGAAATAAAAATATTATTTAAAAAATCAAAAAAAAAATGCAATGGTAACATTAAAGAAAAGACCAGTCTAACCTACGGTGACAAATCCTGGCTGGTGGTTGCCCAGGGTGGGAGAGGGGGTGGGGATCTACTGGAAAGGCCCAGAGGATGCTTTCTGGGATGATGGGAATGTTCTTTTTTCTTGATTGCTGTGAATAATAACAGACAATGCCATTTGTCCAAACTCCTTGAACGGTGCCCTTGAAATTAGGCGGCATTTTATTGTAAACTATGCCTCAGTAAAGTTGATTTTGAACATTTTCAGTGCAAAAGTCATCCTTGTTCCCGGTTGAAAATTTGGAAAATACAGGAGAGCACAAAGGACAGTTCTGAAACCTGGAATATCGTGACTGCGTTATGAGTCACTGTTTCTATTTGGGTGAATTTCTTCCTCGGACTTTTGAAAGTGTGTTCATATTTTTCTTGTAAGTATTTGAATTGTATCCTCCTGTTGCCCCACCTACTGTAAACATTTCCTGTGGCATTAAATATCCTGCAGGCGGCCTCTGTAGGTGCCAGCAGATCTGAGTGGTGTACCGTGGGGTGTGCAGTCTGTCCCCTGTTGCTGTATATTTATCTTGTTTCCAATTTCCCAGTCCACGTCAACCAGGGGAGGACATCTGTGGAGGCACATCTCACACCTGCCCACTCTCGGAAGGGGAATTACTGGGCCTGTGGTCTCTCTTCCCATGTGCGTTACATCAGCGTGAGGCCGCTAGGTCAGGGCAGGCTGGAGCGGCGTTCTCCTGGAATTCGGGAACTACCCTGTCCTGTCTACACTGAGGGAGGTACAGCTTCCTCCAGACATCATCGGGCGAGTCTGACACGGTGTTTAAGTCACGGCCACCACCAGCCATCACCCAGGTGGCACAACAGCCGGGACTGGCAGCCTCTCTTGCTGTCCCCCCCCCCCCCCCGGCCCCCCCCCCAGGGCCTTAGACCCCCCCCAACAAGTTGGCCAGCTCCTCCCCCACCCCCATCGGGCGGGGCCTGGGTGGTGTTGTGCCTGACTTTTGTCATTTGTGATGATAGGAGCTGGCACGTTTTTCCTGGGATTGATTCCTGCCCATGAATTCTGTTTTCCCACTGCCTCCATCATCAAAACAGAAATATGTCCCAACGGAAAAGATTTGGACCCATCAATGTAGCAATGTAAGAATGCAGCAACAGCGTGAATGTGACCCAGCGAAAGAAAACAAAAAGTAGCTTGATGAGAAAACATTAACTGTGCTGGTAGTGATAGTGATGTCTTTCAGATAAAATTAAAATATTGAAATTGGAAAGTACTAGGACCCCAGACCTGTGATTGCAAACCCAGCCTCCACCAACTGACTATTCTTCAAACTTGATACACAAAGTGGGCTCACTTTGCTGTATGCCTGTTATATACCAGACGCTGTGCTGGTCATGATGATGATGATGGGCATGGGCATGGGGATGGCTGACACTTGTTAGCCCTTAGTACGTGCCAAGAAGTGTGCTAGGCACTTTATGTTTTTACATTTAATTTTCACAGCACCAATTATATTTTTATTGAAGGGTAGTTGATTTACAATGTTGCGTTAGTTTCAGGTATACAGCAAAGTGATTCAGTTATACATTCTTTTCAGATTCAATACCCATATAGGTTATTACAGAGTATTGAATAGAGTTCCCTGTGCTATGCAGTAGGTCCTTATTGATTTATCTATTTCATATATAGTAGTGTGTATATGTTAATCCCAAACTCCTAATTTATCCCTACCTCCCACCTCCTCCCCAAACTAACCATAAGTTTGTTTCCTATGCCTGTAAGTCTGTTTCTGTTTTGTTAACAAGTTCATTTGTATCATTTTTTTTTAGATTCCACATACAAGTGATATCATATGATATTTGTCTTTCTCTGTCTGACTTACTTCACCTAGTATGATAATCTCTAGGTCCATCCATGTTGCTGCAAATAGCATTATTTCATTCTTTTTATGGCTGAGTAATATTCCATTGTGTGTGTACATATATATATATATATATGTATATCACATCTTCTTTACCCATTTATTTGTCAATTGACACTTATGTTGCTTCCATGTCTTGGCGCTTGTGAATACACAGCACCCATTTTATTTTATTTTATTTTTATTTATTTATTTGGCCGTGCCTTGGGGCATGCGGGATCTTAGCTCCCTGGCCAGGGATCATACCCACTCCCCCTGCAGTGCAAGTGCGGAGTCTTAACCAGTGGACTGCCAGGGAAGTCCCAGCACCCATTTTAAAGATGTGGAAAGTGAGGCTCAGAAACTGTACTCTGCCCAGAGGCACAAAGCTAATAAAGCAGAATTGGGGTTTGAATCCAGTTCTGTCTGAATTCAAGTCATAAAACTCTTAATTATTGCACTATATTTAAAAAAAAAAAGAAGGAAAGAAGGGAAAACCAAAGCAGACTGTCTCAGGAAGTTGAGAGGCCCGCCCAAATTCAGAGGCTCAGCCGGAGCCAGGACCCTGCCTTCTGATTTCTCAGCCCCATCACCTGCCTGCATATTTTCCTAGAGTGGTCATCTGAGCCCCTGGGATGATTCCCTGTAATACAGCAAGAGAGATTCCTCCCCCCTGCTTCAGAGCAGCCCTGGTTCAGTCACACCTGGCTGTTATTTCTTGGTGCCATTATTGCTCTGTCATCTCTCTCCTCCTGGACACATCTCCGCGGAGGTGGGGGATGCGTCTGCACAGTTGATAGCCGAGCCCTCAGCGCCTCGTGCAGATCCTGACACGTAGCTGGTGGTCAAGAAATATTGTGCGAATCATTTAAAGGAACCAGGAGGTGTTGATGTGGCCGCGAATTCACTGGGTTCGACAGTTTGTCTGTCCTTTCCTTGTTCATTCCATCCATCCTTCCTTACACCCTTCCCTGGCTTTCATTACCGTATTGATTTTTTTGTTGATCTGCCAACCTTTCTGAGCACTTCTGATGGGTCAGACCTCATGTGCCAGAGCCTCTTCCTGCCCTATGTTTCCCCAGAGGCAGGGCTCCTCCCCCCCAGCTGGGGGATGTACTTGAGGCATCCAGAGATGCAGGCAGGGAGGCCCCGCGCGGGTGTGGTTGGCACTTCAGTTGCAGGATGCTTTGGGCCAGCCAGGTAGCGTAAATGAGAACTTCTCCAGACGTCTGGAACAGGATAGCCCCCTGTACCGTAATTACATTTCAGGGAGCACTGCTGGACTCTGAGATGCCCGCTGTCATTTTCATCGTGACCCTCGGAGTGCTGGAATTCCTCCTGGAGTGAAGTTGATAAAGAGAGAAACCTACCACCATTGGGGGAGGAGGGGCAGCGACTTTCACCCACCATCAGATCCGGTTCCTTTGCCTCAGCTCGCGTGTAAGACCTCGTCTCTGCTCTGCAGTCAAGGCCGTTATCACACAGAATTCCTGCAGCAGCACTGAGAGCCAGCTGTTGACCCATTTGACAGATGAGAGACTGAGGCTCAAAGCCAGGCTGGCAGTAAAGACCCGTTGATGCATAAGGGGATGGCGAGCAGCTTCCGGGAAAGGAACCGAATGACGTCACCCAGGGAGCAGGGCTCAGGGGCGGTGTTTCGACAGAGGCACATGTCACCCTAATTTCCAGTCAGGTAGAAGAATTAACCAAAGGCTTAGGCTGCCCCCCCGGAACCAGAATAGGGCCCGAAGCAGTCCTGCGGTTTTGCAGCCAGCTTCCAAAAAGGCGATTCGAAAAATGGAGCTGAGGGGAACTGCAACTCACAAACCTGGTCTCCTTCCACGTGGCCCAGGCAGAGACCATCAGGAAGGACAGGTAGGTGGTCCCCGAGGCTAAGCTTCTATGAACATTGAACGCACTGTTCCAGCTCATTTGAAATGGATGGGCTCAGAATTCTGGGGCTGGACAGGACCTGCAAAGATGATTTCCTAGAAGCCCCTCATCCCTAAATGAACAAAATAAGAACCAGAGAGGGGAAAGGATGGGCCCAAAGACATCCAGCCTGTGGGCAGCAGAGAGGGGACAGGAACACACTCTATTGTAACGACATTCCTTCCGTCCCAACACACACACACACACACACACACACACACACACACACAGTCCAGTGCAACATTGGATTTGTGATAAAGTCTTTTGAAAAAGAACCTCCCCCTACACTCTGAAAGTCCCCTATTAAAAACACCTGCCCAATCATATATCCAGAGAAAACCATACTTTGAAAAGACACATGCACCCCAATGTTCACAGCAGCTCTATTTACAATAGCCAGGACATGCAAGCAACCTAAGTGTCCATCCACAGATGAATGGATAAAGATGTGATATATATTATATATACACAATGGAATATTACTCAGCCATGAAAAATGAAATAATGCCATTTGCAGCAACATGGATGGACTAGAGATTATCATACTAAGTGAAGTAAGTCAGAAAGAGAGAGACAAATACCATATGATATCACTTATATGTGGAATCTAAAAAAATGATACAAATGAGGGAATTCCCTGGAGGTCCAGCGGTTAGGGCTTGGCGCTTTCACTTCCGGGGCCCAGGTTCAATCCCTGATCAGGGAACTAAAGTCCTGCAAAGCTGTGCTGCACAGCCAAAAAAATAAAAAGATACAAATGAACTTATTTACAAAAGACTCACAGACATTAGAAAACAAACTGACGGCTACCAAAGGGGAAAGGGGGGGAGTGTAAATGAGGAGTTTGGGATTAATAGATACACACTACTACATATATTGATAAAACAGATAATCGTCAAGGACCTACTGTATAGCACAGGGAGCTCTACTCAATACTCTGTAATAAGCTACATGGGAAAAGACTCTAAAAAAGAACGGATATATGTATATGTATAAATAAATCACTTTGGGCTTCCCTGGTGGTGCAGTGGTTGAGTGTCCGCCTGCCGATGCAGGGGACGCAGGTTCGTGCCCCGGTCCGGGAGGATCCCACATGCCGCGGAGCGGCCGGGCCCGTGAGCCATGGCCGCTGAGCCTGTGCGTCCGGAGCCTGTGCTCTGCAACGGGAGAGGCCACAACAGTCAGAAGCCCGCGTAGGACAAAAAATAAATAAATCACTTTGCTGTACACCTAAAGCTAACACCACGTTACAAGTCAACTATACTCCAATAGAAAAATAAAAGTTTTTTAGAAATAAAAAAAATTTTTTTAATCTTTAAAGAAAACGTCAAGAGAAAGTAAACCGCTATAAAGGGCATTACCGGGACCCTTGGAGAAATGTAAATGCAGACTGTCTGCTGGTTAACAGTCTGTGGTGGTTAAATTTCCTGGGTTTCTCCTTGTCTGGTGGTTCCGTAGAAAATATCCTTGCTTGTAAAGTATTTAGAAATAAAACTGTCATATCCACAACTTTCAAATGGTTCAGAAAAACACGTATGTAGGAGAGAGTAAGGATGCAAACGTGGCAAATGTTGGTGATGCGGGGGAAGGGAGTATGGGGGTTTCTTGTGCTGTTCTGGAAACTTCTCTGGAGGTTTGGAATTTTTCAAAATAAAAAATAGACGTATATGCACTAATATGTATAAAATAGATAACTAATAAGAACCTGCTGTATAAAAAATAAATAAAATTAAATGCAAAAAAAAAAAAAAAATAGAGGAGTAGCCCCACCCACCTGCCTGGTACCCGCTCGTGGCTTATTGTAGAGCCAGTGGCTGGTGCATCGGGAGGGATTTCCAGCCCCAAAAGAAAAAATAAAAAAAAAAAAACAAAAAAAAAAAAAAAAGAGGAGTAGCCCCACCCACCTGCCTGGTACCCGCTCGTGGCTTATTGTAGAGCCAGTGGCTGGTGCATCGGGAGGGATTTCCAGCCCCAAACCAGGTTCCCAGGTTTGTTCCTGTTGAAGCAGTGAGTGCACCGTGGGTTCATCAAGATCGCCGTCATCACCACATCTTCTAGAGCAGGAAACTGAGGCCCGGGAGGCCATGGGGCCAACCCACGGTGCCACAGCGCAGCACCAAGTAAGGTGTAGAGAAGTCGGGCTATTTTGGGCCTTCCAGGGGCGTGTCTCCTGGATAAACGGGAGTCACGGTGTCTCCCTGATGTCACAGGATATATTTTCCGAGGCAGCCGTTCCCTAGGGAATGACCCCAAAAGCTCTGCAGTCCTGCAGAAGCTGTTCTCCCACCCCCTCCCTGCCAGTAGACAGTGGCTCAGTTCTCTCTCCAATCGGTAGCTTCCTTTCGGTCATAAGCAGTGCCATTTTTAAAAGTGGGAGATCATGTTTATGAACTTGGGGGCTGGGTCTCGTTCCATATGGGGGTGTCAGTCTCCTCTTTGAAGGGTTACCTGAGAAGCAAACCCAAGTCCAGGGCACAGGGAACAGCCGTTTTAGGAATCAGAAGATGGTGAGAAGTCCAACTTGGGTCGAGCGTTCCAGAGCATTCTTCACCGTTTATTACTGCTGGTAGTCACCGTGGAGCAGAGCGCCAGCTCTGGGTCAGACACTGCATGCATCATGTGTGTACCCGTGGACGTGCACATGTGTGTGTGTGTATGAGTGCGCACACTCGTGTGTGAGCGTGTGCATACCTGTACGCGTGTGCGTGTGCTCGTGTGGGTGTGTGCCTGTGGCCTGTGCCTCTGGCCGTGGCAGCCCTGAGGGTGCTGTCCCCATTCACAGCTGAGGAAATGAAGCTCAGAAAGGACCCTTGTCTCCTTTACAGAACTTACCATAATCGTCATCAAATGATGGTTTCTGCCATTGCTTCCGTATTTCCCTCTGTCCGGCGTCTATAAGCTCCATGGCGGGGCTGTGGAGATCTTGGTCAGTACCGTAACCCCAGGGCCCAGCATGGCCCTGGCAGGTACCTGGCCTGATAAACGTCTGTGAAGTGAAAGAGGAGAGAGGGAGACGGGTGAGGAGAAGGAAGGATGAGATGGGCGTCCTCAGCTCCCAGGCCTCCAGCCCTGCCTTTCTGGCAGGTCAGCAGAGACCAGAGGTATTTCTGTTTTGAGGAATTTAAACAGATGCTCCCAGCTCAGTTCTGGCTAGGGTTTCTGGCTGCACATACCACAGATCAAGGGGGTTGGAGTTTCCTTCCAAAGGCTCCCGCCGAGTGCTGGGGACCGGCACTGGGCCTGGTTTCCCCATCTAGGAAATGGGACAAGACTCAGCCGCAGTGAATGCGTGAGAACCGAGGGGCTGCTGGTGGCTCCCAGGGTCCCAGGGCGGGCCGGGCCACCAGGGCTGGGATGCAGGCACTGGGCACGGCTGGAGGGCTGGTCTCGTCGGCCCCAATCCCGACCTTTTGCTGCACTTAGGCAGCGACAAGAGGGGCCTTTTTCCAAAGCCCTGTCCAGGGCTGCTCTGGACCTGGTTGCTGCTAAGCGGCAGCCTGCCTCCTACCAGGTCACACGAGATGTTTCCGAGGGGTGGCCCTTGGCCTCCCGTCCTCTTTGACTACAAGTCGCTGCAGCCCCCAATGGCCATTTCCAGGCACCTCTGCCGTGCCAGGCTCTACCGAGACCCCGGGTCGTCACCCTTACTCGAGGACACGGGTACCCCTGCCGGGGCCACGCCGCTTCCAAGCAGCAGCCCGGGACTCCGCATCAGTGTCCTGGGGCGCCCGTAACGAATGACCACAAAGTGGGCGGCTTACACACGCAAGTCTGTTCTCCCACCGTCTGGGAGCCAGAAGCCCCAGATCCAGATGTGAGCAGGGCTGGTTCCTTCCCGAGAGTCTGAGGGAGGGTCCTTCCTACCTCTTCTAGCTTTGGGGGCTCCAGGCATCGCTGGGCCCGTGGCCGCCTTTCTCCTGCCTCTGCCTCTGTCCTCACGTGGCTTCTGTCTCCTCTTTTCTCTGTCTCAAATGTCCCTCTGCCTCTCTCCTGTAAGGACACTTGTCCCTGGATTTAGGGCCCACCTGGATAATCCAGGATGATCTCATTTCAAGATCTTTACTTGCACCTGCAAAGACCCTTTTTCTAAGTAAGTTCACATCCACAGCTTCCAGCTGGACATTCCCTTGGGGGACACCATTCAGCCCCCCATCAGCAGGCCCCTTGGTCAATGCTGTCCCAACTTTCCCACTACAGCACAATGACCCCAACCGAGACGGCTCCTCCTTTGCCCCGAGAGACAGGTAGTGGGTGGCTGGTCTCAGAGTGTCCTCCAGCAGAGACAGGGGGCACACACACCTGTGTGCGTGCACGGGGGGTTGGTCAAGGGGGTCTGCTGGAGAAGACATGGAGAGAGCCAGCAGAGACGCCCCCAAGACTGGGGGCTGATCGTCCCGGCGGAGGGCCAGCGATGATTCTCGACACTAGTTCACTAAGGGGCTCCCCTCCAGGCACCCTGGGGGCCGATGGGCTCATTGACCTGGCTTCCCTCTGGCCTGGCGGGTTCAAAATGCACCCTCCCCAGACCCCCTCCACCCTTGGCCCCAGCACACCGCTGGCGTAGTCCCACCAGGCCAAACCCCACGACTGGAAACTGGGCCTGGGCTTCCCATAGCAGGCGAGGCCTGGGGAGAGAATCCATGAGTCTGAAACAGTGGGGAAAGCTACGTGCTCAATGCTAAGGAAGCAGTTAGGTGAGCGAGGGAGCCCCCAGCTGAAATCGTCACCGTGGGATGCTAAGCGCGCAAAGCAAGACATCAGCTGGAAGCAGAGTAACATTCTGCTTTTGTAAAAGCCAGAGGGGAAAAGAAAAAAAAGAACAAAAACATGCATCGAGGTACATTAAAAGAAATAATGCACCCATTTTATTTCTATTTGCATATGTCTCTGCTTTTCCCTACGTTTTCTACACTGGAAATGGATCTTCTCTATAATTGCAACACAGAAGCTATTGAATCAGCTGTTTCTGAGATGTTCACTTGGGCCGGCAGACAAAGGGTCCCTGTGGCGTGGTTGAGTGACTCCGATCAGTCGACAGTGAGTGACCACATGCGGGGACGTCCGTGCGGCTTCAGTGGTCAAAGGTGTGCAGACGGCGCTGTCTTACACGTCCCCAAGTGTCACCTTCCTCCCAAACAATCCCTGGGCTCCAGCACAATGGCCTTGCTGCTCTGGCCTCACCAGCCGGAACCTTCCCCATGTTTCCTTAGAGGGTCAGAGGAGCTGCCCTTCCTGGATGGAATCTGTGCCTGCCTGAGGCTCTGAGCTCCTCCAGAGCCAGGCTCTCCGGGCCACTTTTAACTTTGTCAAATGCTTTCGTGGTTCACAACGATGCTTCCTCCAAAGGGCTCCATGAAATTCTCGGAGACCTGTCACACCCAGCAAGTCGGGAGTGCTTTGATTAACGGGACAGATGCTTGCCAACTGACACTTGGAGAGGCTGAGGGAGGCGGGTAGGAATTAAATAAGAAGAGGGGTGTCAGCTCCCAAAAGGTGGCATATCTCTGCTCTAATTCCTTGACGCCCAGTGTGGTTCAGAGGTCGGGGCTGTTAATGGGCAGGGAACAAATTGGGGGCTGCCACCTGTGGCTCTTCCAAATGGGGAGGGGGCACCCCCTTTACAGTTCAAGGGCCTGTTTACTCCAAGGTCGGCAAAGCCCAGGTGCTCCAGGGTCTGACACTGACCTGCTTTGGGATGCTCCCCCGCCTCTCTGAGCCTCGGTGTCCTCATTGGGAATCAGGGCTGCTCTGAATAGGAAATGAAATGATGCCTGGAAACACTGTACACAGTGCTTGGCGCACAGTTGGTGCTTCTATTTTCTGGTTCTGTCTCCCGGCAATCCAACCAGGCAGTTGGAGAAAAAGCATTGCCCTCCCTAAGGGTTTCTTCCATTATGCAGATATTTCTAGGAAGGGAGGATTGGAAAGATACCCAGGCCTTAGGAGGTTTTGTTTATCAGCTTCCTGGTCTCTGTGAGTCGGGGGCCCTGGCACAGGGCCACCATGCACAGTGGCCCAGGTTGCGCACTGCACAACTCCACAGATCCTGGGGTGGTGCAATATGGCAGCGCTCTCTGGATGACACAGGGGTGGGGTGGGGGAGAGAACAGATGCCAGAAGACCTTCTACCCCAACAAAACATGACACAACATGACTTCTTTATGAGTGTGTTCATCGTATGCTCGCCCTGCTCATGGCTCACGAGCGCAGGGCCCTCGTCCACCTGAATATTGCTGCTTCTGCGGCACCTAACATCCTCTTGGCACATCGTAGCTGCTTAGGAGATATTTGTGGCATGAATGAAGTCAGGGATGGGGTGAGGGGGGGTGAAGGTGGGCAAAGGGAAATTTACAAGCTACAGGCTAGCCCAACGTTCTGAGAAGCCGTGGGTGGACCACTTTCAGTCCGCGAGCCCCCCACCCCAGTTCTCCTGCGTAAGGTTTGAAGAAGCCAGGGGTTCGGAGCATGGATCGGGCGGGCTGTCAGAGACAACACAACCACTGGCCTGTCTCTGGCCAGGAGGAAAGCAGTAAAATGATGGCCTTGCTTTCCACCTGTGCCTGGGTTCTAAGTAGCTGAGGGAAGACTGTGTGACCCCAAACGCTGACCCTCATTGCAGAAGTGTATGTATGGGGGGCTTCCAACTCAGGGCAAACACAAGCCCAGCATGGCAGGGGAAAAAACCAGAGGAAATCGTCCGGTAGCACCGGCACTGGGTGGGGGAGGCCGGCGGTGGGCTCTGTCTGCATTCTTCTCTTTCGTTTTTACCAATTCCCAAATTTTCTCTAAAGACCGTACACTACTTTTATAATGTTTTTTTAAAGGCCTGGTTGGAAGGGACGGAAAGATCATAGAAATGGGTCAAAATGGATATTCGGGTAAATTTATTCTAGTCTTGTTCACCATAGTGAGAAATGGAAACCAACCTCAATGTCCAACTCCTGGGGATGGTTTGGACCTCACAGCATGGGCAGCCCTGCCAGTCGGGAGCAAGGTGGGTTTGCAGAAGGCCACGGCACTTAATAATCCCAGGCTTCAGAGCAACACCCACATATGAGCCCGTTCTGATTATAAAGCAAACATGCCCGTGGGAACATAATTAAACAATAGAGAGGGCGTAAAATGAAGCATAAACGTATTTCCCCTCCCACGCCCAGCAGTCTGACTGCTAACAGATTTTTTTTTTTTTTTTGCGGTACGCGGGCCTCTCACTGTTGTGGCCTCTCCCGCTGCACAGCACAGGCTCCGGACGCGCAGGCTCAGCGGCCATGGCTCACGGGCCCAGCCTCTCCACGGCACGTGGGATCTTCCCGGACTGGGGCACGAACCCATGTCTCCTGCATCGGTAGGCGGACTCTCAACCACTGCGCCACCAGGGAAGCCCTGCTAACAGATTTTGACAGAGATGTCACCTTTCTGAAATGTTCTCTGCACACACAAGCACTTATAGGGGAGCCTTTGGTTTTGCGTGGGCACACACTGACCCCACGGCCACTTTTCAGAGATCTCTACATAGATGCAGAGCAAAACGTTGACTTAAAAAACAGTTGGCGGGACTTCCCTGGCGGTCCAGTGCTTAAGACTGTGTTTCCACTGCAGGGGGCATGGGTTCCATCTCTGTCAGGGACCTAAGATCCTGCATGCTGCAAGGTGCGGCCAAAAAAGAGGAAAAAGGTAAAAAAGAAAAACCAGTTGGCATCATTCGGTAGTGTGGAAGCTCCAAGTGTGCTACAACCCGCAGTCCCACTGCCCAGCACCGTGGCCCTCCCACCGTCCCTTCTGAGCAGCTACGTTCCTACAGCTGCAGACTGAAATGGTCCAGATGTCTCTCTACAGGGAGACGGATGAATGGAGTGTAGCACAGTCACACCGTGGGATATTACACAGCAAAGGAGGATGAATGAC